CTTATTGGGCAGGACCCGGGGGAAAGGGGTTCTGCACTTTGTGGCAAACAACCTCGCACTTCTTTTTCTAGGATCACCAGAGGTTAGGGACTGAGGGAACTGGGAATAGGTGTAGAGAATGGTGTTGATGCTAATGATGTATCGGAAATACAGTTGCTAGCAGCAGATAGCAGCTGTTCCTTCTCAAACCTGCAGTAAAACGTATTGAGGTCATCTGCCAACTGACGGCTCTCTTCAGTCAAGAGAGGTGGGTTGTTGGGGCCGATGATGTTCTTCAGGCTTTTCCGCACAGTTGCAGGGTCATTTGCCGAAAGCTGATTTTTCAGCTTTTCTGAGTAATTTCTCTTTGCTACCTTAATCTCTTTCATAAGTACATTTCTGGCCTGCTCATACACAATCTGTCCCCATTCCTATAGGCCTCCTCCTTGTCACGATGTAGCTCTTTGAGCTTTGCTGTGAACCATGGCTTATTGTTATTATATAAATACTTATGTTTTTGGTGGGCACACACATGCCCTCACAGAAGCTAATGTATGATGCCACAGCATCAGTTTACTCATCCAGATCTGCCGAGGCAGCTTCAAAAACATTCCAGACTGTGCACTCTAAGCGGGCCTGTAGGTTTAATTTAGCACTATCAGACCATATCTTCACTGGCTTAGTCACAGGCTTCGCAGTTTTAAGTCTCTGCCTGTAGGTGGGAATGAGATGGATCATACGATGATCAGACAATCCAATTGCTGCGCGTGGTATAGAGTGGTAGGCTCCCTTTAACATGGTGTAGCAACGATCCAATGTATTCTTGCCTCTAGTAGGACAACTGATGTGCTGTACATATCTGGGCAACTTGTAAGTAAGATTAGTACTGTTAAAGTCTCCTAAAACAATAAGTAAAGAGTCTGGATATTTCTGTTCTGTGCCAACTATCTGGTCTGTTAAAGTCTGTATTGTGCTATTTGAGGAAGCAGGAGGTATATAAACTCCAACCAGGATGAATGAGGAGAATTCACGTGGAGCGTAATATGGCTTGCAGTTAATAACTAAAGTCTCTAAATGCATGCTGCAAGATTCATGTAGGATTTTAACATCTTTACACCAGTGAATATTAATGTAGAAACAAATTCCACCTCCCCTGTAAAGATGAAAACCCGAAAGTTGTAGAGATCCATTAAGGTCCTCCATTGAGTGATTAAGCCATGTTGCACTTGAGAAGTCAGGGTTGAGAAGTCAGCACTTGAGAAGTCAGGGTTATTCCGGTTTAAAATGAGTAGCTCATCCATTTTATTGACTAGTGAGCGTGTATCTGTTAAATATATTGAGGGGAGAGGAGTTCTAGTTTGTTGCTTTCTAAGTCTTACCAAGATTCCAGCTTGCTTTCCCCTTTGTCTGCGTCTCATATGTTCTCATTTAGTTCCCAAGCTGCTGACGACGAAACTGCTGACGAAGCCGAGGGGAGCTGCCGCCCCCGCGGTAAAGTCCACAGCAGCACTCCCACTGCCACAAAAAACAGGAGGAATTGTGTAGGCAAAAAGCTGTCCAATATTTAAAAGTTCATTTCTAGAATATGTACTCTGCAATGAACTGCAGGATATAAAGAAAAACATCACACTCGCCAGGGAGCGTTTCACCCTAATCCATTAACCCTAACCCTAATAGTTTTTTAAAAGAAAAAGAGCAAGCAAGCAAGCAAAAGGAAAAAGAAAAAAATTATTGGTACAGAAATACACTATTTACAAGTGGACAAAGAAATTCCACAATGAGACAGGTGGTGACAAATTTGAAATATAAAATAAAATGAAATAAATAAATTACCAAGATTTATAGTTACTGCTCAATGTATCTTTGCTTAGAAATTAACCATAAAAAACATTAAATTACAGTTAAGTACATTAATTTTTTAACAATGTAAGAAAGAATTAAATCCCTGAGCTACATGCCAAAATCACTACTATTTGTTGTTTAAAAATATGAGAGAGAGAGAGAGAGAGCGAGAGAGAAGAAGAAGAAAAAGAAGAAGAAAGGAGGAGGAGGAGGAGGAGGAAAGAAGGAGAAGGAGAAGGAGAAGGAGAAGGAGAAGGAGAAGGAGAAGGAGAAGGAGAAGGAGAAGGAGAAGGAGAAGGAGAAGGAGAAGGAGAAGATGTAGGCTGTCATCAACATAACTTAATTAAGATTGAAGAAATACACTATTCTTGAACCTCCCTTTCAATTCCTTTTATCTAACACCAAGTGTTTGAGTTGTAAGGTGCTGGAAGGCAGAGCAAAGTAGAAGTAGATGAAATAAAAAAGAGATGCAATACATTTTGGTGGAGAGATGGGAAAGAAGAAATGTGAAAGATTCAAAGGAAGGATGGACCACGCTTTGCACCTTCCCTTCATTCCTTGGCTGAGCTCGCTGTAGCTGAGCTCAAGAAAGACAAGCAGAGTTGGACTCGGTTAATGTTTATCTAAAAGATTGCCAGGAAATCCAAGGGCTGTAGATTAGATGGGGAAGTCAGAAATACACCCATACTGGTTGCCAAGAAAACAACCACATGGATGTGTATATGAAGATGAGTTGGATTCAGGTAATTTAAAGGTAAAATTGTATTTCCTATTTTTTTTGTTTTACTTCCAAATTTCAGCTAACTTGAGAAGATCCAGCTATTGCTTTCTAGCCTGGAGGAAAGATTCTGCTGGCAGAGAAAGGAAGGTTTAGGGTTTGTCTAGTATTACCAAGACCTGGCATGTGTATGTAGGTCCCCTCTCAGAAATGAACCTACCTGAGTTTCAGGTGTGGCATCAGCCAAGATCCTGGGGCAGGGGTGGTGAAGTCGCTTTTGTCATCTGGGAGATTCTGATGGTTTTCAGTGGGGCTGTTCTGCAAATAACCAGATGTGAAGCTGGGCTCCAAGGATCAGATGGGGTTGCTGCTTATGTACCAGCCTTTCCGGTCCACACCTGCTTCCCTACCCGAGCTGCTTGATTCCATGGCAGGATTGGTAGTGGAGTTCCCTAGGTTTGTGGTTCTGGGAGACGTCAACCAATCTTCACTGGAGAGAGGCAGCTCAGGGGTTCATTACTACCATGGCAATCATGGACCTGATGCAAATGATTAATTGACTCACAGTGAGAGTCACATATTAGATCCATTTTTTTTTTTAATCTCTAACCCTCACCCTCACCCAGGGCAGTGGTGACATGATCTGGAGTTTGGGGATGTTGTCATCAGTCCCTGTTAGCCTTGGAGATTTCTGTGGCTGCCCCCTGCCCAGGGAGGCAGGCCCCATTTGATTGGCCCGCCCCAGGTTCTTGATGGATCTATGCGGTAGTCCCTGAAGCTCTGGTGCATGGCTTGACTTAGTTGCTGCTGGGAATGAGCAAGTGATGGCAGACTTGGATTGCATCATGCCTGTGCAGATTCTCTATGTGTGTAGATCCCAGAGATTTCCCTGGTTTTCAGAGAAACTTCAGGAGATGAAGTGGCATAAGAGATAACTAGAGTGCTAGTGTGAGTTTGATCAAGCACAAGTAAGAGCCTTCATTAAATATTACCTTGTGAGGATAAGGGTGATGAAACACACTTATTTCTCCATCCTTACCGTGTCTGTGAAACCTGGTGACCCTGTTTTGGGTGACTTGGTCCCTCCTGAATAAAGAGCGAACAGGGGAATCCTTGCAGGATTTTTTATGAGGATTATGCTAGACATTTGTTGTATAAAGATGCTTGGATCCACTTGGAGCTGGATTCAGTCTGTGTTGGTCCTATGACATTGACTGAGGTTTAGTCTTGCTTAGTTAAACTTGCTTGGAGTTTGTTAGTGGTGAGGAAGTGGACATGATCCTCGGGATGTTGAATTCTGCCACCTGCATTTTAGATCCATGTCCCTCCTGTTTGGTCAGGTCCTCCTAGGAGGTGGCTTGTAACTGGATCCAAATGTGATGAATGCTTTCTTGCAGGAAGGGATGGTCCTACTTCCTTTAAAGGAGTGGTCCACCCTTGTCCTCAAGAAACTATTGCTGTATCCAGCAGTACTAGACAAGTTTCATCTGGTCCCCAACCTTCCCTTTCTGGGGAAGGTTGTTGAGAAGGTAGTAGGCTTGCAGGTCCAAAGGTATCAGTCCTATCAGGTAGATCAGACTAAGAAACAGACACTGGAGACCTAAAGCTACTTTTATTAAAACAGCTATAGCAGCAGAATCTTGCAAGTCTGAGTGTGCTACCTTTCCTTCCTCTTTTATCTTCATGAGAATTGGGGAGGGGGCTGTCTGAGCTGTTTAGCAAATTAGTTTCTTGGTCTGGGTTCAAGTTTAATTTATCTGACCATTGCCTTGGTAACAGATCTTCCCTCTGACCTTCAAGGCCATCTTCTTTATTCACTATACAAAGTCTCTGGAGGAAGTGGATTCTCTGGACCTGTTCAGGCTTCAGGCTGGGTTACAGTACTGAGGCAGCATTGATTGCATTTGTGGTTGATCTCTGGCAGGCTTGGGAGAGGGATAGCATAGCTGTTCTGGCCCTCCTTCATCTCAGAGTGACTCAACAATCATGGTATCCTTCTGGGCCAGCTGAGGGGGTTGGAGGTGGGGAACCCAGTTCTTCAGTGGTTGTCCTCCTTCCCTCAAGGAAGATATGGGTGTAGGAGGTAGAGAGGTCCAGCCCTAGGCCTCTGTCCTACACAGATCTGTCCTAGGTCCTGCATCAAACTGCTGGGTGAGGTAATCTGTCAGCATGGGGTTAAGTAACATTGGTATGCTGATGATACTCAGTTATACATCTCTTTGTTTGCTGCCCAGAGTCCCAGCAGTTAAGATGGATGGCCATATTAATGTGTTAAATAAATAAATGAATGGCAGCCATTACTCCATGCTTCTGAGGTGCTTAGAGGCATCTGATGCCTGGCTTCTGTGGTCAGACAGATTTTCAAACCTTGTGTAGAGGTAAGCCTGAACCCAGCCCTGGGATAATATCTGAGCCATAAAGAAAGCAGATTAAATGTAATATGTTTTTCTTTCTGTTCTAGCAGCTGCCATGGAACCACTCAGGACTGCCTTCTGATAACACATCTACCTGCTCTGAGAGTGCAGATTTCCAATATATCCTGTTCCCTGTGGTTTATAGCTTAGTGTTTCTCCTAGGTCTGGCTGGGAATCTCTTTGTGCTGGGCTACTTCCTTCGGACCAAGTCAGCCACTGCCCCACCCAATGTCTTCCTGGTGAATCTGGCCACCATTGATTTACTTTTTGTGCTTACCTTGCCCTTCCGCATCACTTATCATGCCCGCCATAATAACTGGACCTTTGGGGAAGCCCTCTGCAAAATTACAGGCTGCCTGTTTTTTGCCAACCTCTATGGCAGCTCTCTCTTCCTGGCTTGCATCTGCCTAGAGCGCTACGTAGCTGTGGTACATCCACTGAAGCACATTCAGTTCCGGCAGCTGCGCTACCGTGTGGGAGCTGCCTTGGGAGTGTGGCTGTTACTCATTGTGGCCATCCTGTTTCTGGCCCTCCGTGGGTCCCTGACCAGCCCCTTTGCAGATGGCCGCATTGCGTGCCTTGAAAACTTCTCCTCCAGTTCCTGGAAGGGGCGCATCTCGGGCATCAGTATCTTTGCTGCTGTGGTTGGCTTCCTGCTGCCTCTTCTTTTGATTGGTGTCTGCTACCCTCTGATTGCCTGGCGCCTACTGGCTTCTCCTGGAGTGCAGTCAAGTTCCCGAGCAGTGAGACGCAAGGCCCTGCGGACAGTGCTGGTGGTCCTTGGTGTTTTCCTGATCTGCTTTGCACCTTATCATGTTGTACAGCTGGTTCACACACTGGGCCGTGTGGGTGTCCTAGGTGGCTGCCCCCTCCTCCGTACCACCTACGCGGCTCGTCGCATCACTATGGCGCTGACCAGCCTTAATGCCTGCCTAGACCCATTGGTTTATTACTTTGCTGCTGAGCGGTTTGCTTGGCAACCAGGCTGGTGGAAGTGTGGCTGTTGTCAGCCAGAAAGCCCCCAATGGCCTCTGGGGCTCCCCCGGTTGATTTTCAGCAAGGCCTCTTCCTCTGGAGAAACCACGAGGACTGACACAGAGCAGTAAGCAGAGAAACTCTGTCCCTTAACTTTACAATCTGCTTCGTTCCCTCTGCATGAGATGAATGGAGACATTTATCATAGTTACATGGGTGTGAATGTCCTGCTTGTGCAAAGAATGGACCGGAAATGAGTGAGCAAAGGAGTCTCAAGATGGCTTTTATCCGCCTTTACATGCTTCCAGACAGATGACCTATCAAAGGATGTGATGTGATTACTACTTTTTTCATTGTGATGTTTTTACATGAGACTTTTCTTGTGCATTGCTTTGCTGTATCTCTGAGAATTTTGGGGGAATAGATGTTCTTTACCAGTTCTTCAAATTATTTTTCTTATTCAAAAGTCTTTTAAGTAGGGGAAGGCAGAATGCAGGTAGTCCTTGATTTATGGCCACAGTTGGGACCAGAATTTCTGTTGCTAAGTGATGTGGTCATAAAGTGTGATATCACATGACTGCATCGCTTAGTGATGGCAATCCCAGCACTTCCCATTGCCACCATTAACCGAATTCCACTGGTCGTTAGCTGAGAACCCACCTGAATCCAAGCCATTTCAGGCTTGGTCTCTCCCAGCCCAAAAAATCCCGCCCCCCTCCTCTCCAACAGGCCCAAAAACCTGAAATTAAGGAGCTATTAAGCTGAGTCACTCCAAGACACAACTTCCTCCTCCACTTCCTGGTTAGGGTTGTCAGGTTCGGTCAGCACGGGGCTTCGGGGAAGCTCG